TGTTTGGAGGGCAGTCACTTGGTTGGATGCTTTTAGAATGGAGCTGCAAATTCCAGAATTGTTTTGACTCAGATATGGGGGGGACAAAGCTGTATGACTGTCCATTTCCTGCTTATGCAAAAAGACAAAGATCTAGTTAGGCAAGGAAGTGAAGCAAATAGAAATCACAAATGAGCTCTTTGTTTTCTCACAGATGGAGAGCTGCTCTCTGGAGCTGGGTGGAATTTGTTGTCAGGACCATTTTCTGCACTGATAATTTTCCCACAGGTGGCATCCCCCACAAGACTTTCAGCCTACCTGGTCTGAGTCTAGGTGGGCTTATCAAGGGGCAGGGGGGAGGCAATGAGTCAAAGCACATCGGTTTAAAAGGACCAGCTCCTTATTTATATCTGAGGCTCAGAAAGGTAGATAGACTTGGTCAGTCATGCAGGAAGTGATATCAGAGTTGTTAGAGCTGGAGAGTTCTGATTCCGGGAACACAGATATCTCCAGCACCTTCATTGTTATCTCTTCTAGCAGAGTAAATCTGAATCTGCTGTTGTATTTGGCATAGGTTAGGGGATTAGGGCTTTTTGCTCAGATGACTCATTTGGCAGTCCATGCAGTCCCTCTGATAGGTTTAACACTCAAGCTTGCACAAAACTACACTCCACTCACCATGCTGCATAAATGTGTGGGTGTGTCGGTGTGTGAGGACATCTTAGATTTCCATGTTTACATTTCAGTACTTAAAGGTGAAAGCATTTTCCAGGGATGGACCCTTGCATGTTTAGCATTTCTGGCTGACAAGTCATTTTAGCTAAACTCTGCCTGCAGAAGAGTCCATTATTCCAGATGTCATACGATGCATTGTTGGAATAACAATGGTGCTTGCCTTGCTCCCTGAGATGTGGGAGAAGCTGGGTGAGGTTGTACTGTGAAGTCACTAAGCTCTAGAAGGCTCTCGCTTGAGAGCCCAGTGTTACTGATGTTCCTTTCCTTCCTCAAGGCCTGTGAACAGAGTCCTTTGCTCTGGGCGGGGCCCAGGGAGAGGGGCCATCATCTGGGCCTGTAAGCATACTTGATTTCTGAACTGATGTACATGTTTTTACTGTGATCTTGGTCCCAAATACAGAATTCTCACCTGTTCTCACTGAAAGTGCCTGATCCTTGTAAATTCTAATTTGCCTACTTGCTCTTAGTATTGTGTGTAAGTGTGAGACTCTGTGTCCAAGAAAGAAGTCATAGAATAAGAACATTTTAGTGTCATTGAAAAAATCCTTTTATGATTTCTAATAAATATTTATTTTGCCTTGTTATGATCATGTTTCATCCTTGTCTTAGCTGTGCCCATATGGAAACTGACTAGAAATCCTAGAGTATTGCTTAGCGGGTAAAGGGGAGGTCATGTGTTGGATCTACAGAATTATTATTGGTGCTGGCTCAGGGACAGAGTCGCCATGCTGACACAGACCACCTTTGTGCAGTCTTCCTATTTCAAAGTGCTTTAAAGCACCACTACCCATTTGAGCCACTCAATGACTCTAGAAGCAGTTTGAACAGAGTCTCCGAGTCTCCTTTCACTCAATGCAGCACAGCTTAGCCAGCTTTGCAGTCCAGTCTGTGTGATCTGAGCACTGCTTTATCCATGTAACTGACCCCTGCAGGCTCTCAACTAAGTTTGCATGGTTACAAAACCATGGCTCCACCTGGAGACCAGAAAGTATATCTCCCTCTAGTCTCTTCATAGGACTTTACAAGCAGGCAAGGAGAAAATATGTGTACGATTGGATGACTATCATTGTTGCCCAACTCATAGTATATATGCCCTTTATTCCATTCTTTTATTTCATAAGGATGGCAATTCTCAACTTGAGTACCAAGATTTTGCTGTGTCTGAATGAACTGCAGAATTTGCAAACAACTTAAGTGACATGCTGCATTTGACGAATTAATGTACTTAATTCAGATGATTCCCAGAAGAATGCCCTTCACTGGGATGTGTCTTTTTGAGTGGCAGAGAAACAGGAATCACACATAATCCACATTCCAGTTCAAATATACTTGAGCCCATAATCTAGGAATGTGCCATTCACAGAAACATTCTGGCTGGATGGGTAGGAAAAAGGTGGGAAGTTAGGTCCATGGGAATGAATATTCTTAGGGTACTTGATACTGGGCAAAACTACCTTCCAAAGGTATTTTGCAATTTTCCAGTTTTTGAGATGGCATCATTCCCTATTTTGAAGCTTTCCATCCATATCAGTTGCTTTAACAATGAAGTTTTATTTCCTTGATGAGTGTTATAACCTCATTTAATTGGTGTGGAGATTTGAGACTTGAAGAGAGATGGAATCACACAGAAAGGTCACATGCTTTTTCCTGGGCCAAGCACCCAGGTTCTCTGAATGTAACTGGCGCTAGTCTAGTAGTGTGCATGAGTTTGTGTCACAGGTGGTCTAGCCTTGCCTGAATCACACTTAAAAATAGTGCAGATGGGCCCGCCCCGGTGGCCCAGCGGGTTAAAGTACAGCAGCACTGAGAAGCTAAAGCCACTTCCGCATGAGTTCGATTCCCGCCTGCCCCGGAGGTGACCACATGGCGTGGCAGACCTCTCCTGACCCACCCGCTGCTCCCCTCAGCAGTGTACTTCGTTGATCTGCCTGTTCTGCTCCCCACTCTGTCCCTGGTGAAGCCTTTCACTGCCCCTACACTTCTGGCCTGTACCCCAGCTCTGTATGCACAAGTATTTTTAAAAAATGGTTAAAATCATGGAAAAGAAATGCAGGTAGGTACTGGGAATGTGAGTGTGAAATAAGGCTTCAAGGGAGAACATTGAGCCAAGGCGACAGTAGTAGGGAGTGGTTGCATTTGAAGAAGGAGAATCTCTGTGGCCCAGTTGCTGGGAGTACAGGAACAAAGGAAGCTGGAGAGGGGCCCAGAGCAGGTAGGACCTGTCCAGTCATGGTGAGAGTTTGCGATTTTGGGGAGCCACCTAAACATTTTATGCAGGGGGATTTCCAAATGTGAACTTTTACCTGTTTTTTGCAATGGGGTTGGAAGTTTAAAAAGGGGGTGTGTCCCTGTGTGCCATCCACTGGGACACACTGCAGTGTAGAGTGCACCGAGTTCTGCACAGAGTGGTGGGAATTCTTAGGCAGTGACAGGAAAGAAAGAAGGCAAAGAGAAGGGAGAGGCACTGGAGGATTGTTAAGGCCTTTCAGTAGAGAAGGGCTATTTGAGCACATTTGGTTACTTAGCTAGCCTTCACTGGTTCTTATTAGGATGTGGATCCTGAGAAAGACACCATTAATGTTTTCAAGATGGGTGAAAGTAGAAAGGGAGAAGGAGAAAGTCAAGACAGCTTAAGGATGAAATGAGAGTTAAGTTGCATTTTGAAGGAAAAATAAGAATTAGCTAAAGTTCTGAGGAACAGGGGAGATGGAAGAAGGAGGGAGAAAACTGTGGAAGGACCAACCCCTGTGAAGGCATACAGAAATAAAACAACAGAAAACAGGCTGAAACAGTCAACCCAAAAGAAGAAGGGCTGTGAGACGTACGGCAGAGAAGAGCAGATCTTAAAGGGCTCTTTGTAAGATCTGAATGTGAGTAATTTATTAAGTATATTCTGTTCTAAGCACTGTGGTAAGCGCTCATATGCACTGGCCCACTGAATCCTCACACTGCTCCCAGGAGCGGGGCACTATTATTATAAACAATACACTTTGTAATTGAGAAAAATGAATTTGTAGATTATTATAAATAACCAAAGAAAGACTGAAAGTGGATAAATTCACATGGCAATATGTAATATTTTTTTAAAAAATCACATCAATTAGAAGCCCTGGTAACTATAAGTGACAAATAAAATTAGACTTTATAGAAACAATACAAAAATAAAACTACATGAAAGGAAAATTTCATATTGTGAATTTTGTAGCTAAAACTGATAGAAGAACAAAGTATCGCCAACATTTACATCTGGAAAAAAGACCCAGAAAACTCGGACTTAGATATAAAATGCCAAGGAACATTAATAGTAGGATACCAAGGAAACTGAGTAAAGCTTATACATACAAACACTGATTGATACATTTTACAACAGATTTCCAAAGGAAGAAACTTTATTGCAGTGAAAATGATTTTGGTAAAGTGCCAAAGAAGTGCTGAAATAATTAGAAACAGTTTAACTGTGCTATATAAAACACTGAATATGGAATAAAATTGGCTCAAAGGGACCTGCTCCGGAAAAATAAAAATGTTTCTATCTGTATCTGTTCTAGATAATATTAATATGATTTTGGTAAATTCATTTAAAACTTTTAACATGAGTGCTTAGGGGTCCAAGCCACGGGGTAAAATGCCCCCTACTGGGCAGCTGTGGCCTAGGAGGAGGGTTCCTGTAAGGGCAGGCGACAGGGAAGCTGCGTTTCAGCCCAAGGACTTTTGATAAGAATCATGAGAGGCGAGGGTTGGAGTATTTAGAACCCGGGGGAGGGGGGAATTTCCTGAAGAACATACTTTCACACCAGAGATGTGGATCACATTTCCACTGTGCCCACTGCTCTCTGCTATTTGTCTTTACCATATATGCTGCTGGAGTTCACAGCAAGTGTGTTCTTTCAAAGTGAGAAGTGACAGCTGCGAGGAATATGCCTCTTAACACGGTTGCCAAGTTGGGAAGGACCATTAGGAGCGGGAGGGCATGCTAGAGAGGAGGCGCTTTGTGGCAAAGGGCCATTCAGAATTTCTTCATTTATTCATGATGGTACATTAACAATCAGCCCTCATTTGTCATTCACATTTCATCTTCAAAAGAACATTAAAAAACCTATGGGTATCACAACTATTACTAATGTTTATTGACTGGATACTTAGTATCATCATTAATTCAGATATGAAATAGCATAGAATTTAAAAATAGTAAGTCTGCACCATTAGTTTCTAATAACATTTACACATTACTTGAAAACATACAACACTTAATTCTCTGCCCAAAGTAGTACTTTTTTTTGGTGTATTATATCCATTTCAATTTTAAAATTTGAATTTAAAGGTTGTTTATTAAGAAAGTTAAACTATCAAAGTATAATATATAAAAAGTTATGCAGAAATAAGAAGTGCATTTCTTCAAGTAAGTTACATACATAAAGTATGATAGTTTTAAAAATATTCATTAATTTATTCATTCAAGAAATTCACCTGAATGCTCACTGTGTGCAAGGCACTGGGCGAGGTGCGAGGGAGTGAAGCTGAGTGAGGCACAACCCTGCTCTCCAGGAGCTGACAATCTAGCAGTTTTTCAAGATATTGTATAAGCCGTGAGCTAGAGGTGACTTCTAATGTAAAGAGAAGTGAATACTTTTTGCATCGAGTGTTAATTTAGTTGTCTTTGCGAAAGCTTCCTTCTTTTCATAATATGCCGCTTCATTTATGAACGCAGGGTACACGGTACAGTCTCCGCCCAATGAGATAGTCTGTCCATCAAGAGTTAAAAACATGGGATCCCCAGGGTGCATTGGTTTCCAGTCTTGGTCCTCTCAGGAAACAATTAAAATACATAAATTATATTTTTCTCTCACTCTAAAAATGTTATGTCAATGTCTACACAACTAACAAATGATAACACTGCATTCTTAAGATGCCTTGAGAGACCTGTGGTAATCTGACTAAATTGATATGGAGTGAGTTCTTTTGGCAGCAGTGTTGAGAGTACCCTTTTAATTTTTATAGCTGACATATGAGCTTTCTTTAATACCAAGGTTGCTTTACATGTTGTCAGAGATTTATAATATTAAAAGGCAAAACTAAATGTACATCTCCCTGAGTGTACATTCTTTTTTATTTGTTAGCTAGTTAAATTGTTCTCAGCAAAATTTAGGCGGTATCTGTAAAGAGTCTTATGTGGACAAGAATGTTCTCTGTTGGGAACAAACAAAAGTAATACTGTGCCTGCATACAAGGAAGTCTTTTTCTGATGGAGACTGATGAGGGGTGGCAGAGAACTTGGAAAAGCCACCCCTTATTATCGTAATATGTGTTTCCATAATGTGATTAAAAATGGAGCTATCTGAAAGTGTCTGTACCAGGGATTTGACCCTTTGAGCATGAAAACACAAGTGTTGACATACTATAGGGACTCTAAGAGCAATATTTTTCAAAACATGTTTGCAAATCATGTAGAGATCTTGTTAAAATGCAGATTCTGATTCTGTAGGACTAGGGCCCTGAGACTTTGTATTTCTAATATCAGCATCACCTGAGAGTTATTAGAACAGCAGATTTTTATTCCCAGTTACTGACCTACTGTATCAAAACCTTCATGCTAGATCCCCAGAGGCTTACATATGCAATGTTGAGAAACAATGCATTGGAGCCCCTTTTCCAGTGCTGGCTATAAATTATAATTACCTGGGACCTCTCAGAAAGGGTTAAAAGTCCAGCTTTGATAATCTATTAGGTAACTTCCATCTCTGAGGCCTGAAGGTAGGTAGGGTCTTCAGACTGGGGATGGAAACTTTGTTCTACCCTTCTTTGCCTTTACTTTTGTCTGTTACAGACTTAAGCCTTCTATACCCCTCCAAGATCCATTCCTTTCTCTTTCATTATCCCGTCATTGATCAGACCAGATAAGAAGCAGTTAATCAGGGTCCTGAGCAGAGTTAGGGAATGGTGGGAGAAAATGTTCTGAAGAGAGTGGTCCTGATTATTTTATTTTGGCACATTGAGTGGTGATCACAGGCAGCAATGAAGCCACATGCAAAAGCATTAGTTCTGGATCTGTCGTTGACAACTACATGGTTATAGGAAGGCTTTAACTTCTGAGCCTCTGAAACAGACATAATAATATCTGCCCACTACATTTGGACAACTCACTATTCTGTTAAGGTATGTAGTTATTTTCATTTCTAGGTCACAGTTTAGACTTTAGTTTATCTAGATGATAAATTTCATGAGAGGAGAAGCCATGTTTATGGGTATATCCTCAGAGCTAGCACAGGATATGCTCAACAAATATCTGTTCATTGAAAAGCTGAATATCCAACCTATCTTGCTAGGTTTATTAGAGCATCAAATGCATTGAGTATGTAAAATGCTTTGTGAGTTGTAAAGTTCTAGCTAAATGGGAGACATCGTCATTTTGAATGTTTTAAAGGAATAACAAATGTTACCTGCAGATCAGGGTGGATAATAGCAGTAATTTCCCCACATTCATTCCTGGGATAGTCAACTTTTTCCAGTATTTTATAGACATCAATAGTACAGGGAGGAAATTCTTTTCCTATAGCAAAAACAATATGTATAAATAGCAACTACAAAGCAAAAAAACCTCCTGAAAAGGGGAAGTTGATACTTTAAAGAAGGAAGAACAATAACCAAAAAAATGAAGACTGTTATAGGGAGAAAACACACACACACACACACACACACACACACACTCTCACTCACTCTTACAATTTGAGAAACAACTCCATTCATTGAAATTACTTACCTTTATTGAAACTATGTATAAAATCAAGGGCATGTTTAATTATTTTTCTCATTTGATCCAAAATATCTGCTCTCAGAACTCCTTGAGGTTGGGGACCAACTTCTATGCCTATTACAGAAGAGAAGATAGTCACATTTATTATTAGAATATATTACAAGTTTGAAGACTTTAATACCTCAACATGTAGAATCCCTTAATTAAAAATTATTTAAAAGGTAGAGCATATAGCATCATGGAAGATATTTGTGACAAAATGGTAGGCAAAAAATGAAGTTGAACATTTACATGTACAAGTTATACATACAATGAATAATAACTGGGAGAGACCATGGGAAAAAATATCAGTTATGTTAAAGCAGCAAGATTTTTTTTAATTGTTCTTCAACAGTGCTAAAATATTTAAAAACCATAACACAGTAGAAAGAGATAGGCAAAATTATACTTATATTCAGCAAAATAACACGTGGTCACAAATAAAACCTATCATAAACCTATCATTTAACTGACATTAGAAGAGACATCTATTTAGTCATAGAAATCTAGACTAGATAGACTATGGATTTAAACTATGGACAATCATTTAACCCTAAAGCAGCATTCTTGTGCTTAACATAGCAACTGATCCTGATAAGGTAGAGAAATACTCTTTGAAAATTAGACCGTAAGAGCTCAACAGATATTTATAGGACACTGTACCCTAAAAGTCTGAATACATATTCTTTTCAATACGTATTTTTCATGGGAGACCACAGGCTGGGTCACAAAACAAGTGTCAATAACTTCATGAAGACTGAAATCGCTAATCACAATTCTATTAAATTAGAAATAAACCATAAAAGAAGGAAAACCTTCTAATATGTAAAGAATAAACAACAGATTACTGAATGACTATTGAGTTAATGAGGAATCAAAGAAATTTAAAAATACCTCAAGACAAAGATGAGGGAACACCTTACCAGAATATATGCTACACAGCACAAACTATAGTAGGTGGGAAATACACAGCAATAAAGGTTCATATGAAGAAACAAGAAAGAACACAGATAATTACCCTTACCTCTCACCTTAAGGAACAGAAAAAGATGAATAAATGAAACCAAAAACCAGTAGAAGGAAGGAAATAATAAAAATTAGCATTTAATCAGAAATCAGAAAGACTAAATGGTTAATGAAGCCAAAGTTGGTTGCAAAACAGAAAAACCTCAGGCTAGGCTCAAAAGAAAAACAGGGAGAAAATCCAATAAATGGAAGCAAAAGAGAGTTACAATAGACATCTGAGAAGTACAGAGGATCGTAAGAGATTACTATGAACAACTCTCTGCCAGTGAATAATCCAGAAGAGACAAATTCTTAGAAATATACAACCTTCTAAGGCTTAATCAGCAAGAAAACCTGAACAGATCAATTATAAATAAGGATATCAAAACAGGAATCAAAAACATCTCAAAACACAAAAGCCCAGACTCAGGGAGTTCCACTAGTGAGGTCTACAAGACCTTCAAAAACAAACTAATCCCTGTCCTCAAACTCTTACAAAAAAATTGAGAAAATGGGGATGCTTCCATACACATTTTATGAGGCCAACATTACCCTGACACCAAGCCAGAAAAAGAAAAGCAGACTAATTTCCTTGATGAATAGATGCAAAAATTCTCAATAAAATCTTAGCAAACCAAATTCAACAATGCATTAAAAGGATCACATACACCATGGTCAAGCAGGATGTATTCCAGGAGATGGGATGGTTCAACAGCTGAAAATCTACCAATGTAGATTAATCACATTAACAAAAGGGAAGAAAAACTATGTGGTCATAACAAGAGATGCCGGGAAAGTATTTGATGAGCTCCAACTTCCATATAGGATAAAAACCTTTAAAAAACTGGGGAATAGATAGAACATTTCTTAAAACAATAAGGTAAAAAATGTAAACCCATAGCTAATATCATTCTCAATAGTGAAAAACTGAAAGCTTTCCCACCAACATCTGTTATAAAGATGTCCACTTTCACCACTACTATTCAATGTAGCAGAAAAATAATCTGGGGGTTCCCAACATATTAAAAATAGACCTACCATTTAATTCAGCAATTTGACTCCTAAGGATGCAAAAATGCTAACTCAAAGGGATATATGCACTCTTAGGTCACTATTAATAATAACCCAGTTAGAGAAATAACCTAAGTGTCCAAGGTCAGATGAGTATAGTAGTAATATGTGTGTGTGTGTATGTATGTGTGTGTGTGTGTATGTATGAATGTTTCTATCCATCTATTTACCTACTGACACAATAAAGTGCCATTCAGTTATAAGAAAAGATAAACTTTTCTGGAGGATGCAACTGGAGAGGCTAGTACTAACTGAAGTTAGTCAGGAGTAAGTCAAATAGTAGATAGATTTAGCTGCCCCCCCAGCCCCCTGTGGTGGTGCAATGGGTTAACCTCAGCATTATGAGGCTATCCACAACCACTGCAGCACAGGTTCAATCCCTGACCAGGGAGATGACCCACATGGCATGGCAGACCTCTCCTGACCTTCCTGCTGCTCACCTCAGCAGGGGAATGTACTGAAATATATTTCAGTAGATCTAACTGTTCTGCTCCTCACTCTGTCTCTAGTGAATCCTCTCACACTCTGCACCTCTGGCCTGTGCCCCAGTTCTTGTATGCATAAATAAATAAATCTTTAGAAAATACTAGATAGGTTGACTTATATGTAGAATATAGAGAAACAAAACAAATGGTCAGATAAAACCAGACCGGTAACAAACCCTAGAAATCCCACTATAGAACTGAGGTTACTAGAGGTAGAGGAGAGGGGAAGCAAAGTAGAAAAGGGGTACAAGGGTCCATGGTGAAGGCACAAGGGTGTTTTGGTGGAGGGTATGGTGCAGTAACATGCATCTGAAGGGTGTATACCTCTAACCTAACCTATACCTATACCTCTAAACCATATAGTATCATAAACCAATGTTACATCAGTAAACAAATATTCTTAAAAATAATTTTCCTCTAGGATATAGTTTGATCAGATGTGACACTGGGAAAGAGGACAGGACTTACCAACAGGATACTTGGCTATCGAACGAGTGGTTGCATATTTGAGGGAAGGATGCTCAATAAGATAGACATAGCAAGGTAATGGAGCCAAAGAAGTCTGAAAGGAATGAAAACATCTTTTTTATTATACAAAGACCATGTTTTATTCTCTGTGCATACCTTCAATATGCTTTACACTATCAACTAAGATTAGCTTTATGAAATATGCCCTAAGGCCCAATATTATTATTATATATTTGAATTATGAATAGTATTCTGGGTAAAATGTAAACAATTTTCTGAATCAAGATCAAAGTCTATGAAATAAAATTTCCTTCTGAATGGATTTTTTATTTTGTCCCAACATTTGTTACACTTACTATTTAGCTTAGTGTTGGTATCCTATAGAAGTCAGTTTCTATTTCTGTGGTCCAGGTCTCTACATATGTTGGGTAACTTCCCCAACCCCCACTTATCTGAATGAGAATTCAAAACAGGCCTCTCAGTTTTGATGACAATGCCAGTCAGGCTGCTCTGGTGCCTGGTAACCAAAGCATTCAGCTCTCCCTTCAAGGAGCAAAAAGAATAGCTGCATTATGATCTCCTACCAGAATTACTATCTAGTTATTAAAAACACAAGGGAAACAAAACAACAGCATTTTATAAAAATTAACCTTTACTATATGCTAGATATTAAGCTAAAAACTTTAAATATTTATCTCATTTATGGCATTTAATAGTCATATGAGGTAAGTGTTATACCAGTTTTACAAAATCCAGAAAGTAAGGTTTTGGGAGTTGAGTATCTTGTCTAAGGCTTATGAGTGATAAAACTAGGATCTGAAACTAGCTTCTTTTAGCTGTACTGCTAAAACTCTTTTCACTAAATCATACTAGCTCTTTGGAAGGAAGGTTATCTGTTATAAAGCACTTAATTCACTATTTTATTTTTGCTTACTTGCTATTTTCCAGCAATTTTTCCCTAGCTGTAGATACTGGATGGCTATACTTTTCAACTTCTAGATTTCTATTGTATGAAGCTATACAACTATTTATTGTATAAAGCACTGAAAGACTGATTGTTATTGAAGTACCTAAATCAAATGGCAAAAAAAAGTAGTACTAAAGAGCCAATATTTTAATCATTGATCCTTAGTTAGCATTAAGTATCTATTTCTTGAGTTATTTCTACTGCATCATTAAAAATTTTGGTACCCATTTTACTCAGTTTTACCAACTAGCCTGTGATGGCTGTCTGGATAAGAGATTTACAATTTTAAAGACACAAGAATCATGTGTTTTATTATTTGATTCATCATACTTGCTCTTTTACTCATTGCCCTTTCTCTTGCCTGTGCCACTGACCTTCTGATGCTCTGCACACTCCCTATCTCTCTGGTTGTTCATATCTACATTTGACTTAAAAGTACAGGTTCTATGCTAACTTATAAATGAATAACTTTGACATTACCTTAATATAATGACACATCTGAATTAAAAAGTCATTCCTGGAATCTTCAAGAATAAGAGTGCAACCCATATTAGAAGTAGTGTTGTGAAGGTCAAAAATAATGTCATAGGAATCTTCACTATCTTTTGGACCAAATAAATGGTTTATTTCTTGAGCCCTTCTCACTTCATATGGCAAATCCTCTGACATTTTTTTGCTGTTATTAGCAGAAAGAAAAAAATTAACAACATCTGTGGCTAAGATAACATAAATATACAATAAGAACACAATGTATAAGGACCAGTTGCCAAACCTTTAATATGAAAGATCTGTGAGGGTAGGGAAACATTTGGTAACTTTGTAAGTGAAAAATTACAATTTTTCCTCTATCTGATTCCATAAAATGTTGCATTGACATGCCTGCAAATAATTATTTATATGGCTAGTTGCAGGAAGACCATTTCAAATAGAATTTACCATTTGATTTTCACTTTGAACAAAATCTACTCACTAGGTAACCATCTGCTTCTTAGTAGTTTATGTGTATTGGGCTATTATGGGACCGGACCATCAAATGCATTTACAGATACTGTATGCTCTAGCACTAAAACTCTGTATACTCTAGCACTGTATACTCTAATGCACTAAAACAATTAAACATAGGTGCTCACACAAAGTAATTAGGGATTCTTAGTTGAAGTCCAGGAATCAGTAATGGTCTAGGGACAAGACAAATGTCTGTAAACCCTGCAAAAAAAGTGAAAATTTGGATGAGGATTAATAATTTTTATTGGTTTCTCAAATGAATTCCTATCTTCCCACTCTTATTCTCCCACAATGGTTAGGGCACATATTTTACCATACATTATGATGGTTTTAAACAGATTTTTCTTCTTTAAGCCATTCAACTTCATTTCTTTCTAATTAAATTTATTTTTATGCCCTGATTACTTTTGCTAGTATCTTCTAGTGGCCTACAGTTTCACCTGGATAATCCCTACCTGGAAAGCAACCAAGAAGGTGGACACCCATTGTTTTTTTTTTTGACTAGGAAACATAAATCAAGAGGACAAAAGATGCATGCCAAAGATGGTCTAGTGGTAAGGTGGAAAGGCCTGAGGATTTATGTTATCACTAAGCTGCTGTACCAACCCTGGACTGCTGACCTCTGAACTTAAGATTTATGGAAAAGAAACCTTATTTGCTTAAATGATTGTTTTTAGGTTTCTATTATAAGCAATCAAAACATAGTCCCTAACATAGACATATTATATATATATGTGTGTGTGTGTGTGTGTGTGTGTATACATTACAAAATTTATTCACAAACAACTCTATGAGGTTCTTTTACCACCAACTGATTTGCTTCTAATTCTTTCCCAGGTAAATAAATGGCCCCACTAGTCACTCAGTTTCTCAGAGTCAAGGCTTGAAGTCTTCAAAGATAATGGGAACTTTGAGTTCTCATATCTGGAATCCTAAGTACCACAGGAAGAGTCCAAAGAGATAAAGCCCCCCCGGCAAAAAGTCAGGAGGAATATCCTTAAGGGTGGTATTAGCTATACTAAATTATTTAAATCTAAAAGGGATTTTGAAAGGATTTTTCAGCAGGGAAGAGACATGATAAATTTGCGTGTCAGGATGATCCCTCCATCGCTGCCACAATACAGAGAATTGATGTAAGGAAGGGTAACAGTAGATGTAGAAAGATTCTTTAGGAGGTTGCTCTGTATTTCTTTAAAAATACAATAGAAAAAGTAAGTTGGTAAAAATTGAGAGAAGTTGATTTTGTGAAACACTTGCAATAATTCAGTACTTGAATACTTGGATGACTTATAAACCATAGACAGAGGTGGGAGAACAGGGAAAGTTGTAAGGGATTTCCATGGGGGATTTGGAGGCTAATGGTGAGAAAAAAAGAATAAAGGAATAGGAGCAAATTTCAGAGAGGAGGGACTGAAGAAGGTGGTTTATTATTTCATAAATCTTCATAAATACCCCGAAAGAGAACTCTAGCTTCTAAACAAAATTAAAGGTAACAAACAGGAAAAGAATTTAATTTAAAAGACTGATTTCACTGAAATATATACCACTGAGTAGTCATAATAACTAAACTTACCCTAGTTCATTTCAGAGTTATTTGGGAAGATAACACACCAACTAAGAGTTATTCTTTAGCAAATTCTCACTTGTAATATGAACATTACTTAGCAACTATTTTAGGTGGAAAAATAAAAATTGTGTCAACATAACCTCAGTCATGAAGATAAAACACTTTTGAAATTAAAAAAGTGAAAAAATTATGCTAGAAAAACTGTAACTTACCACACAAGCTATAACTAATATATAACTGCTCTGGAAAACATCTATTTCATAAACGAAGGCACATTTGCACTACACAGTAATCATCGTTTGATTTGTGGTGATATTTAACTTAGGTAACCTCTGAATTCAAACTGCATTTATTAGAAAATCAGTGCATGTCTTATAACATAGCTAGTTGTCTGCCAACTCCTGGAAGGTAGGAACTGTTTTATACATAGTTTTTTTACTCCTACAGTGCTCTGAGAAGAGTAGGTATTTACTAATATTTTTAGGTAAATGAGAGCAGTTAAAAAGCAAGTACTTAGTAGCCCATATATATATAGTAATACCTATAATGATTTAATTATTGCATGGGTAGTAGTACCTATAATGTAGGGTATTATGATTGTGTATACAAGCGTTATAAATAAACCAGTCTTTACCTGTCATTAATTCACCACCGAATTAAATACATCCACTCATCAGATCTCAGAATGTGTTAATGTTTTCTGATGATCGGTATTTAGTCACTCTTTCATTAAAGAAACAAATTGAAACATTTACACTTCTCAACTAGAACTTTATGAACTACCATAAACAAAATTGAGTAAAAAGTAGTAGTTAATAACCTAGAAAGTTAATAGTACATTTGTATGCAAGCACACTGGTAAAATACTAATTAAAGCAAAGTATTATTGACGTCACTTTTGGACCCCACACTAACTCCAAAACTGACATCATTATTTACATCTGTTTCTTTAAAAATGCAAGTTTAACTCATAGCAGGAGTATAATGGACCAGGCGAGAAAATAACAAGAATAATTTACAGCCATATATCAGAGACATTTTGTAGGGGTGGAGTGGGGAATGGGATAAAAAACGGGGGTGGGGGATGGGGAGGGAAGTGCACGGGATTACGGTGATGGCACACGGGAAACCCTCGGGGATTACAATTGAGATGGGGGAAAAAATGTACAAAATGATGTAAAAATAAACTGTTATAAAATTAAAAAAAATTACAAGATTAAAGTAATAACCTTAGTCACTTATGTTTTAGTCTGTATAGAATACATTTAAAAAGAAAACCAATGAAAGACAGTATGGTGCTTTAAAAAGTTTATAAAACAGCATGTGAATGCCCAGTTTAGAGAACAGTGTAATTCATAATGGAGTATAATTAAAAGTGAAAGTGATTTTACAGTAGCAACAATACATAGGAGTATCACATGCAGATATACATTTATGTGTTCTCTCACACAGTCCACTTTTTATACACACATACATACTACACAAAATAGAGACTTACCCAAGATTTTCAAGGTCAAAAACTCGATTCAGGTCACAGTCAATATATCTGGTACACTTCTTCACTGCTCTGGGATTGGTAATAAATGGCTTTACCTCGAGCCCTGTCCTCTGAATCTCAGCGCCATTCTCTAGCCAGTGTTTAACTAGAAATACTCCTGTTAGCTCATTCCCATGAGTTCCTCCAAAGATAGCAACCTTTTTTATAGGATCTCCATCAAAGTGACAAGAAGTCATTTTGTCAAGCAGTTTTATCTAATGTCTGCAACTGAGAAGAGAGAGCAAAGAAAACTCAATTTCTTAAGAAAGCTTTAAGGCTCAATGAGACTTTAACCAAAGTGCAAAGTGCAGAGTTCTTGCATGGAATATATTGTAATTTTCTGTCACAAGTATATGGACACTCCCTGATTTAGCTCTGCCCTTTACCATATTTGGATTAAAATATGCAAATATTAAGGAGACATTCTGTTGTTTACTTTAACTTCTAACTCCCTCAAATGGTCAGTAGATCTAAATACAATAATACATTAGCATTTTCAACTAGTATGAAAATTTTGTTTTCCTTTCAGCTAGAATGTCACCTAATGGTGCTTTCAGAACTACTTATAATAATAAAAATATCTTTATACATTCCTAATCCTGAAAAATATAAAAAATAAAGAAATGACCCATAATATGCATGTTATTATTCAATACTTACATTTCCCCTGCATTCAAAAACATTTCTTCTCTGAATGAGTTTAAGACCTTCATTATCTGAGGACTTTTAAATCTTATCTCTGTAACCTGTCAGAAGCAGATCCACAGAGAACTACTCTGGAACTAGCACTTTCTGTCAAATTGCTTTTTCATGGCCAGAGATACAAGGCCAAATCAACATGAATGGAATTTAAAAAACATTTTGGAGCATGATTTAGTTTCTTTCCCATGAAATTTTGGTAATTGTTTGGCTTCCGAGGAATCTGCCTTCCTCTTTTGTCTCTATATACGTAAGGAAAAGCAACCATTAGTGATTTCAAATTTTTGCAATGGGTGAAAATGCCTTGGGGCATGCTAAATATTTATGAATTTATATAGACATAGTCTAACTCACTGGCAGCAAGGAATCTCCACTGGAACATGTTACTCAAGAGGGGGTCTAGTTAGGGGAAACTATGAAAAATACTAAGATGATAGTATTATATCCCTTTGGAGAAATGAGGCTGAACCAAATCTGATTTAATTTCATGCTCAATCATCTAGAAAGTCAAATATGTTCAACAGGAAATACTATGTATCAGTAATGATAGGTTATTTGATAGGCTACAACAACAGTAATTCACTACAATTTCAGAGTATTTTAATTTATAACATGTTACCTCAGTTATTTCATATTTCATAATTTACAACATATTACCCCAGTTTATTCATATAGTCACTTTGTAAGATAGGGTGGGATAGGTACTGAACCTCCATTTCAGGGGTAAAGGCAAGGTTAAATAATTTGGGCAAAGTTCCACATATACCACAAGAAAATTAGGCCTGGGATCAGGTTTTCTGATTCTAAGTCCAGTGCTTTTCACAGAGCAATAAGGTACTCCCTGTTATTTTTAGTCTTCCCAAAATTCTAATTTTGCTCTTTTGGAATTCACATAAACAGTCACTACAGTGTGTTCCAGAAACAAACAAGCATACAAACAAAATACATGATAGAAATACAAAATGTGAATGCTTCATAGTATTTAATAAACCAATTCCCATCTCCTTTAAGAAATTATAATGCAGATAAAGCAAAATAATAAAATCTAAATTTACACATTAAAGTACTAAGAAAAAGCCCTTGTAGCCTTTGATTTTCTGCCCACATCAATGTACACTGAATACTTCATTGTCAATGATGAAAACAAGTACAGACATAAACAAATGATAGTGGTATTGTTTAGTTACTTCAATATTAAAAGCAGTAACTATGGTGGATTATTAACATGATTACGTTTTGCTTCTTTTCTACCAATTTGTGTGGTTAGTTCTGTCCTTTGCCCTAGTCTGTTTGGAAATGCTGTTTCAGTTATTTACTCGGAGCTGGCACAAATGACTTGCATTTCAAGGCTTGTTTTATGGAATTCTAACAGATCAGCACTTTGAAGTACAATTAACATTCATAAAGTTTCCCTTGCATGTCAAAATGAATAACTTTTTTGAGAGTTAATGAATATACTTACCTTGTTTATTGAGTACAGAGTTTGTCTTCTCCAGAAAGCTTTATTAGAGTAAAAAAGAAAGCATTTCCTTAGAACTAGAGCAATGGAGGCTTTTCATACTCTTATACCAACTTAACTTCCAAAAGATTTTTAACTCCCTGTTTCCCAAAGTACATTAAAAATTTGAGCCCCACATATAATTTTTTACTAAATTAGTTTTTTTTTCTTTTAGAGTAGAGAACTGATAGTATACAAAGTGGAACTATTTCTAGTTGTCACTATCTCACTGTTAGGTTGAATATTTAATTTTTTATAAAGTACTTAAAAGAACCATAACAATTTTTTTGGGGGGTGAATATCAATGGCGGATTTATTAGTAAATTACTGTAATAATGTAAAAAACAATAAATCTTTCATAATCAAGGCTGTTCAATATATTGATGGCAGAAACCTTGCGGGAAACAAATTTTAAACTGTGGTTATTTCCAAACTAGTATTGTTGAGGGATAAGGAGTGCCTTCTTACCAACCATACATAAGGTGCTTCAGATATAATGTGATTATCGAGCAGTCATGTAATCAAACTACTTTCACTTTTAATTTTCTTTTCCCCCTGTGGCCCTATTGTACTCATCCATACTGACCAACTTTGCAGCTGGAAAGAAATGATAACCACAATATGACAGTAAACAAGATAAGTTTGCTACAGAGAAATTATTTTATAAAATTTCAATACCCACTTATAAAAACTCTAAACAAGATGGGAATAGAAGAGACTATTTCAATACAATAAAGACTGTATATCACAAACCAAAAGCCAATATATTGCTCAATGGGGAAAATCTTAGTATAAAGTAGCTTCATCTAGTACTGGAGATTTTGGTTAGAGCTATTAGATGAGAACAAAAAATAAAGGGAAGCCAAGTAGAAAGAGAAAGTTAAACTATCACTATTCACAAATAATATATTATCTGTAGAAAATCCTAAAGATTACATTTGAAATAACTCAGATCAATCTAACAGAGGAAGTAAAAGACCCATAAATGAGAACATTAAGATGTTACTAAAGGATTTATACAGTGACGTAAGGAGATGGGAGGATATCCCATGCTCATGGATGTGGAGAATCAATATACTCAAAATGACTAACCTGCCTAAAATGATGTACAAATTTAATGCAATCCTCATAAAAATACCAGAAGTATTTTCAGAGAAAAAATTCAAAAAAAACCCTGACATTTACATAGAACCACATAGGGCTTCGGACTGCAAAAACAACCCTGGAAAAATGGGAAATGAAGATATTAATGTTATCTTACATCAAATTTTACTATCTACCAACACTACTGAAACAATATAGTATTAGCACAAAAATAGAAACATGGATCAGTGGAAGAAAATTGAAAGCCGAGAAATAAATCCTCATAGGTCCTAGCACCTAATCTATGATAAGGCAGCTATGAACATACAAATGAAGAAAAGACAGTCTCTTTAACAAACATTGTAGAGAAACCTGAAAAATTTATTAAATGAATGAGGTTGTATTACTCTCTAACCCATACACAAAAATAAACCACAAATCTATTAAAGATTTAGATATATCTGCAACAAAAATACAAATAAGGAAACAGTGCTGATGCATTCTATGTTATCAATAATACAGGTATTTTTGGTGAGTTGATCCCTATGGCAAGAAAATTAAAAAACAAACAAACAAACAAAAAACTCAAGTTAAAAAGCTTCTATACATGGGCTCTCCCTGGTGGCACAACTGGTTAAAGCACTGCATTATGAAGCTCTATGAAGCCACTGCAGCACGAGTTTCATTCCTGGCCAGGAATGGTGTGGCAGACCTCTTCTGAACTACCCGCTGCTACCTTCAGCAGTGTACTTTGTCAATTTTCCTGTTCTGCTCCCCAACATGTCTCTAGTGAATCCTCTCACCACCACACCTCTGGCCTGTAGCTCAGTTCTATAAGCATAAATAAATAAATCTTTTTTTTTTTTAAAAAGGCTTCTATACAGTGAAAGAAAATACAAAACTATTGAAATATATACCCTAATAAATGGCAGGAAAACATTTACACAACTGAGAAGCAATTAATATCCAAGATATATTAAAAACTCAGTATTTCCCGGATGGTTTCACTCATAGCAGGAGTATAATGGACCAGGCGAGAAAATAACAAAAATAATGAACAACCATAGACCAGAGACATTCTGTGGGGGTGGAGT